CTTCTAATTAATCTTTTACTTATTGTTATCTTTGATTTATTATTTACTTAACTTTGACTTATCCAACTAGTGGAAGTCATCTTTTGTATTTTAATAAATCATTTATACTTTTAAACTTATAAAATACTTACCCAACTAATGGAAGTATCAGAATCTATTTCTTTTTAATACTCTCTCTCAATCATCTAGTATTCAATAGTGACTTGAACCGGGTATTCAAACTATTAACCAGTTAACCGAACCAGTCCTAACTGAGTCCAATCAGTTTAACTGAGTTTTTCTCGGTTGACCTGGTTCAACCGGGTCAACCGGTTAACTGGGGTTGATCAGAATATAAAATGGTCAAATTTGGTGATGATCTGCAATTCAAGAGAAATATTAAATTGTTCTTTTCGCATAATTATTAAATTATTCTTTGAGAGATTTAGATAATTAGTATATCTGTAACCCATACTTTATAAGTATGTCAATTGTTTTTTGTTTTTGTTAGTAATTGCTTCACAATGAAGCAAAAACGAAAAGAACTGTCTGAAAGTGAACGAAGTCAGATCGTTGGTGCTTGACGGTGTAATGTATCTATTCTACTATCATAGAAAAACTTGAATTCGCGAAATTAATAGTTCAAGATGTAATTACATATTATAAGAATTCTGGAGAAATAAAACCACCTGCTCAAAGTGGAAGATCACCTACTTTAACTAAACATGATATGTGACATTTATTTTGCATTATCAAAAATGATAGAAAAGTTACTTTAAATGTTTTACAAAATGAATTTTTGCAATCTACATCCATCGAAGTTTCTACACGTACTATACAACGGTATATTCATAATGAAGATTTTTTTGCTCAGATTGGCAAGAGAAATCCATTTTTTAGTGAAAAAAACTAAAAGACTCATCTTGCATGAACAGATGAAAGGCTATATTGGAATTCTGAATGGAATTACATTGTTTGGAGTGATGAATCTCGTTTTGAGGTGTTTGGAGACTTCCTAAAAAAAAAATGTGATGTAAACTGTCTTATACCAACATTTAAATCTGATCGGAGAGGTATAATAGTTTGGGAATGTTTTAGTTTAAATGGTTTGGGTCCGCTAATACGACTTGATGAATGACAAAATACAAATAATTATATAAAAGTTCTTAATAATTATTTATTATCATATTTAGAAATCTTAATCAACAAAATGAATATCTTTTTCAGGATGATAACGTACCAATTCATCAGGTAATAAAGGTGCAAAAATGGATGTCAGAAAATCACGTAACTTGTCTTCCATGGCCACCTCAGAGTTCTGATCTCAATCTCATTGAGAATCTTTGGGATGAACTAGAACGTTGAGTTCGTAAACATACTCCACTACCAACTAATGAGGTCGAATTGTTTAATTTTTTGGAGGATGAGTGGTTTAAATTAGATTAATCTATTTACTATAATCTTATAAAAAGTATACCTCGTCGTGTTGATGCTGTCAAAAAAGCTAAAGGCAATTCCACGAAATATTAATTATATAAATAAATAATGTAAATATTTAGCTTTAAAAAAAACAAATTCTATTTTAAAAAAACCCGCAAGTTTTTTAAAAATCGTAAAAACAAATTTCTCTTGAATTGTTATCATTATCATCATGCGATTATTTATTTAAAGCAAAAAAAAAAGCTAAGTTATTCTCAATTTGATTCTGTTTTTTTTGTTTATACAGGTGAGAACTAGGAAACATGTTAACAAAATCATCATTTCTTTTCAAAAATAGCATTCGAGAAACTAATTTTGGATTTAAATTGGAACGTCATGGAATAATATGATTGCCAGCATCTGAAAAAAGACGCTCGCTGGGAACAGAGGTAGCAGGAATACCAAGGTATTTTTGTGCCAATTTTGAAAGAGTCAGAAATTGAGTTTGTTGTTGTCACCACCACAAAAGAGGATCTAAATTACGAAGAGCCACGGGTATCCGTCTAAAATCAAGGTAATAATCTAATTCATCCAGAGAACTTGATCTTTGAGTGTCGAATATAATATCTGCAAACATGTTATTAGAAGAGAAGCTGGTTGAGCTAGATGAAATGATATGTTCTTTGGTTGGAAGTTGTATTAATTGATGAAGTTGTTGCTGACATTCACGAATAGTATTATTATGAATCTCGTCATTTGCAAAAATCATTTCTTTCAATCAGGGATCCAACAATGTAGCAAGAAGACAAATTTTTGATGGATGGTCCCAATATTCAAATAGTGAGTTGTAAATAGTCGTTTATATCTCTTTTATAATTAACTCATAATTATTTTCTAATTGATTTTCTTGATCATCAAGAGATCGTATATCATGTTGAGACAAAGCAACAAAAACAGTTTCACTTTCAGATAAATCAGATGAATCTTCAGATTCTGAATCAAAATTGGGTATTTCTTAAGAACCTTAATATAATTAAATATTGAATAAAATAAAATAAATTAATTAATTAATTAATTCATTAATAAAGAATTTACTATACCTTCATTTTCATAACTATTCTCATCAATATTTGCACTTTGTGCATAATGAAATTTCATTGCTTCCATTAAAGGATGAATAAATGCTATAGTAGGATATCATCCAGCACTAAAATATTCAGTAGCACTATCAAACAGTTCTAATAGCTTGAGTAATTTTTGAACAAAATTCCACTCTTCCTTTCATAATATCAATTGTTGCAGTTTTCATCCATCTTTTCGTGCATCTGGATCATTCTGAAATGATAATGTTGCTGAAAGTCATCTAATTGCAGGTTATAGCTCAATTAATCTCTTTCATGATTGATATTTAGAATTCCAACGGGTTGGAATATCTTTGACATTTTTTAATATGAGAATAAATTTATCAATAGGATAATTGGTTGTCATCTCATTTTCTGAATCATCATCATAATCGGAGTTCTCTAATAAAATTAAATCATGTAAAGATATATTATTTCGTCTTTTTTGCTTATATACTTCAATTTGTGCTGCATCCAATCTTTGACTTTGTTTGGGTGAGTTGAAAAACTTGACCAATTCTCGAATTCGGTGAATTTGCTGATGGTTTTTTTTTAGGGCACGATTGACAGATAATTGCAAGGTATGTGCGGTACATGGTAATCTCTCCACACCATTCCAATTTCTTATAGCGGTGATCATATTGCTGCCATTATCTGTAATAACACACAAAATCTTATTTTGTAGATTGAAATCTTGAACTTTACGAATGAGAAATTCTCTAATTATTTGACTGGTGTGTGGATATGGCATCGACTCCAAGCAAAGTAAGATCTCGTTTAATTCGAATTGTTTACTCAACCAATGTGCTGTGATCACAATATATCCAGTTCCATTTCTTGCAGTCCAAAGATCTGTAGTTAAAGAAACTATTTCACTGTTTTTTTCCAAAAGCTCATGTATTTGATTTCTTGCATTTGTATTTCCAAATGATATCTCTTTTTTTAGTGCTTTATAAGAAGGCCGACGGAAAGCAGGATCAATTTGCAGCATGTACCAGCGAAATCCTTCTCCATTGATGATGTCAAGTGGATGATTATCAACAATAAGCCACTCTGTAATTGCACAGCAAATATTAGTTTTTTTGATCCCTTTGTGAGGAGCAACACGTTGTAACATATTGGCAATGGTTTGCTGAGAGCCCAAAGCTTTAGTATTATTCTAAAATTAATTAATTATATTTATTAATTACATATTTTATAAATAAAAATATAAAATTCGATTTATCTTATCTTGTTTTCTCTTTGAAATTCTATTAAATCATGTTCATTCGCAAGATGCAAATTCATATTAGATGTTGACCATCCTGATAAGTACTTGAATGACTTTCCACAGATAGATTCTTCTCTGTCTTTTTTTTTACTTTGAATTGACATATCGATTTTTCTTCAGTTATTTCAAAGTATTTCTAGCACTTCGAGGTTGTTTTAGTTGTTTTACGTCGCTTGCGCTTTTGCTGTGTACTTTGCCGAATACTTTGCTGAGTACTTTGCTGAATATTTTGTTGAGTACTTTGTTCAGTTGTCTGTGAGCTTTCTGTTTGCGAAATATAGTCTTCCAGTCTTTGTTCAGTTACGTGTGAGCTTTCAGTTTGTGAAATCTCATCGTATTCACTATCCGACATTGTTAATGTTCCAAAATGGAAACATTTTTTACAAATCACTACACTATTTATGTATTTATATCATTCTGTAATTGTGTACATTGTTATCTTGTTGGTAATCTACTGAACGACGTTCTTGAGACTTCTACTTGGATACCGTTATGAGTATCCAATTTCTTCTTTCTAGCAGTGCCACTGATAGAAGATGTAGAGCTTAAGTCTGGTGTCTCACAATATACTCTTTCGTAGTCTCTCTGTGACTACGTATGTTGTCGTTACTAGAAGGGGAAAGTAGTACATGTAGTAGGTTTTTTATTATTTTAGATAGTATTTGATGTATATCACGATGTATGTGATGCTTCTATTTACAATTGATTGATTGATTGATTTAATGCACGTTGTGGACATAATAATAATGTTCCTGTGTCATTTTTTATGTATAACGATAAATTGAATTACAAACACAACAACAAAACATAACGATAAACTCGAAGATGGTATCTAAAATTTTGAATACTCATGATTGTAAATGTTACGATTGCCAACAAAGGAATTATTGTGACAAGTGTTCAAACTAGGGATAGGAATCGATTTTCAACCAAAAATCGATTCTCAAGCACAAAGTTCGACGATTATG